GCAAGCTCTCATTTTATTTCATAGTTTCATACAAGTATGAAAATATCACAAAACAGCAAGATATACAAGCTGAAAACAGCAGAAAATTTCAGAATTTTGTCCTGGATTGCTGAATTTTCTGGGGAAAAACGGTAACACATTTTGACACAAAATTTTTCAGATATGTAGTTCATCAAGTCTAGAACGTACACAAAAATTTCATGTCAATCGAAGGTCTAAAAGTATTTTTCCCGAAATTTTTTCCAACATTGCTCCAGGCAGATACACACTGCCAAAACTTTACAAAATTTTCTGGGATAACTGGAGCATATTTTCAACGAAAACTTTTTATAGATATCAAATGACACAAGTTTAGGTTCTCAGGAAAAATTTCATTCCAAAAGGAGTTCAATAAGTATTTTTTCACGAATTTAATTTTTAAACTGCGCCGGTCAGAATTTTCAGACAGTGATTACTATGTGAAAAAAAATTTCACAATTTGTTTGCTTCAGGCAAACCATCATGATGTGAGTCAATTTTGACTTTTGGACAGTAGCATAGCATTAGAAGTAGAAGTTGCAAACTTCATTCATGAGTCATAAGTCACCATAAAAATCAATCCCATTTGAGGTATTCTAGACCTTTATTAAAAACGATCCGATGACCAAGCATATTGCCAAGTAGGAAATGCTCGGAACTCATAAAGTACAAAAAAAAAAAAAAAAAAAAAAAAAAAAAAAAAAAAAAAAAAAACTAAAATTTTGATGTCTTTTAAAAAACAATGACATTCAAAATACTTATTATAATCTGATCATGTACTGCTACAGGAGTACAAGGTGACTATTACATATGACAATGAGACTCACACTATTTTAAATAATTTTTAGTTATGTATTTCTACTAGAATACAACGGATTCTTGTACCATTTGAAAAGGTACTATCCAGGAAGTAAAACCCGTCCAGAAAATTAAACATAGAGAAGTAAATTCTGAATTATCAAATAATTCCGGGTGACCCACGAGAATTAACTTCTCAGATCATGCATCCATTTTGTACATTAATGGATCACAATAATTTATTGATCATAGGATCATACGATCCTTCAGGGATCAACTTAGGCTCTATGAATCTTTTCGATCAAATATTAATAACCGATGGTTTAGACTAAAAGGTGTCAAATAAAATTAGTGCTCTAAGTGTTTACCTTCTGGGCAAAACAATATTGAAAATATGCACTTTTATTGTGTTCAAATACTCACATTTGAAATATTCAAGATTCAAGACTCATGCCATATAATTTTATGATAAAAATTAGCACCATCAATATGCATGAATTTGGACAAATAAATCATTTGACTTCCAAATCATAATTAAGTCAATTTGACATTAGTCATATAAATTGTCGTAGTGCTATTATCCTATAATTAGTGCAATAAATTCGCCTTCTGGGCATCCGTTTAGTGATTGAGGACTTGAGATTAATACAATTGGCTTAACATGCACCCACACCACGTAATGTGCTTTTATGTACTTCAATAAAAGCATTCAAACTTGATTTCAGATTGCAGTACAGAAAATGACTCAATCATAACAAGTTGCATATTAAGAGTTGCATATTAAGACTATCAACAATATTGCACAAGCAAAGCAAAAACCAAACTGACCTCAAAGCTTGCCGCGCTGTTGAATTCCTTCACCTCAACTAATATATCAGTAGTTATCTGCTTCTTGACACATCACCTAGAGTCTAGAGACCCAACATGGCCATGAATTCTCTCGCACCTTTTACAAGTAGCTGAAGCAACTTAACCCCACACCAAAAATAAAATATTTCCAACAGAGAGGTATGTATTCCACATCCTCTCAAATAACCAATAAATCCAATAGGCTCAACCATAAAGAATATCACCTTAAATGTGTGTAATTGACAGCTATTGCGAGCATGTCTAAAGTATATTCTCATTAACAGAGCCACAACCGAGATATTAACACATGTATCCATATGCTAATGGATGTCAAACAATTCAAGCAAAGTACTGTGATTTGCAAGCGTGTTTGGTTCATTTTTCTCTTCTCCAAAATTTCTTCTGCAGAGTCAATGAACTCAGTGCAATCATAAGTTAGCTTAGGAATTTCATCTATCATGGATTCAAGTTGTTTAATAGAAGAAATTTCATCTATCCTAATTCTCAATCAACAAAGCAATTCTTAATGGCCACAAAACTAGCAGCTATAGAATGGTGATGCTCATGAGAAGCAGTTAAGCACAGAGAGGATGCATTAGCCGTACATTTAACACCATTTGCACCAATATTAGGTACAAAAGGTTTGACAAATGTGACAAACAGTAGCAACAGTAAATAAGCAAAACACATAACAATCCTTGATAGTATAAAAAAGTATGAGCAATACACACTGCCAATTAAGATCCAAGTTTGAATTATACAGATAATATCAAAGGACATATCAACTATCACCAATCTGGATCTATATAGATGTTAATCTGTTGTAAATGTTTTCCCAAGACTTTAAGATGAAAAAAAAACATAAATCAATAATTTGATTCTAATGGTCAATAGAATCTAACACAGTTCCTCAACATCAGGATTGGCAATACTGCCTAAATTTTGAACACCATTAGCACTTAAAGGATTAATAACAGCTTAACCCCATTACTAAGCACATTAATATTATTAGAAAACACCAAGTTGAACCAAACTTAAGAGCAGTATCAAAAGTTTAAGAATCAATTTGAACACTATTCAGACCACTGTGAAACGCAGCACCATATTAAACCAACTGGCAAACATTAAATCATGTATATTATGGCCAAAACAACGCAAAAGATATGCTATTATTATTCTTTAAATAACCAAACCTCGCCGGAGTAAGGAAGGTTCTCCGGCTCCTTTCCCGTCCAAGACTTTCACATTGTTTTTCTGTTGGGCCTCCATTTGCTATAGCTTCTATGTCCGCCTCACTTTTGAGGCTACGACGTTCAGACATCAGGGCTCAGGCTACGGTGGTCGGTGCTGCAGCAGTAGCTTCGCGGCGGAGGCGATGGATTCGCTACTCGACAGTCGTCACAATCGGTGGCTACGGCGATGATGATCCGAGGCCATCCCCACCATCAGCTCTAATTCCAGAGTCCCAACAACAATTAATGTGATTGGCACCTATTTAGGCCACAAATCACCCACGATCGATGGCGCCGACGTTGGCAGTGAGGGGCTACGAAAGGGCACCAAAAGAAGCTATTTGGTGACATCTCCTCCCATGGTTCTTCGCTTTGGGATTCTAAAATTCAAGATTCCCATAAATCACTTGCGACATTCGGGATTGAAATCCCATAATATTCAGAATGCAGTAAAATCATTCTAAATAACTTCTAAGTTCATCTAGGATGTAGAGCAAAGTACTGATAATGTGTTGAATAAAAATAATATAAACGCTAGTAAGGAGAAGATGGAATAAAGAATGGAGAGGGAAGGCTGATCTTTCATTCATCTGTCCAACTTCCATTACACATACAATACATATATATAATACCGAATAATGGCATACATAATGAGACATTAATATGTCTGCTACAAACGTTACAAAATAATGGTCATCATTAATAATATTTATAACACTAGATTTAATTTAATTATTTTAATTAAATTAAGGAATGTATCGGGACACCATTGTGTCCAGGTTCATCACTTCATCAAATTTTAAATAATATCAAATTATCCAATTTCCTAAAAATTATATAATTCACATATAATTTTAATGGGCCAAAACCAAGTCTAACTCGCAAATTAGTCAGCCCAATTAATGCAGACGAATCTGGTCCAACTCAATTAAATATTTCACCATCTTAGACCAAACAATCCAATATCCAATTACATTTAATTAAGTAATTAGACCAATTAATTACTTAATAGACCATTTAATTAACCCAATTAAATAAATAACAGTCTAATTAACTCAATTAATATAATTAATTTATCAATCAAATATCCACCACGACCCAATAACATTATTCAAATTTTCAAGACTTAAGTATCTCTTAATTTACACATCACCCTCCAATAATACACAAGACTTCTTTGTTTAGAATTTCACGCTATTGGCTAATTGGTCTTCTTTGTTTATAATTTCAGCATGACTAATAGGTCTTATTTTATTTTTTTTAAAAAAATAGGTCTTCTTTGTTTATAATTTCATATCACTAATTATAACTATTTTTATATGAGTTAATACCCAAAATCGTCCTCGACTATAGTGGTTTTTCTCAATTTCGTCCTAAACGACTTTGGTGACCTAATATCGTCCCAGACTTTTATGTTTCGCTCAATTTCGTCCCATACTTTTGTGTTTTTGCTCAATTTAGTCCCTCATTTGTTATTCTATCCATTTGGTGTTTAATAAATAGACAATTAAGTAATTTTAATATTGGCATCTCTTTACTCATAGACATGTGAACTGCGAAATCCTTTTTTTTTTTTACGAATTAGTCCCAGAATTACTCCTAAAACTGCGAATATAAAATTTGATTTGCAGGTCCGGGAGTAATTCTGGGTGTAATTCGTACAAGAAAGAGGAATTTCACACTTCACAAGTTGAAAGTAAAGAGAGATCAATATTGACATTATTGAATTGTCCCTAAATTTAACACCAATTTGACGGAATAACAAATGAAGGACTAAATTGAGCGAAACACAAAAGTCTGGGACGATATTAGGTCACCAAAGTCGTTTAGGACGAAATTGAGAAAAACCACTATAGTCGAGGACGATTTTGGGTATTAACTCATTTTTATATTAAGCACACCACTATATTATAAAAATCTCTCACCTCAGTTGTGTTGATGGTAGACTTTAAGCGGTAGAGACCTGTGATGTTCATATCACTTATCAGTTTTAAATATCATCGGGAAAGAATGGCATATCCGGATATAGATGGAATCTAGTCAGCATTGGCCTTATCCACACGTTCCTTTTTATTTTTTAGTTTTTTTGAAAGGACACGTTCCTTTTTATTGTTCGTCTTTAATTTATATTTATTGGCCGTGGCGCCCCTCCGCAGACCGTAGTAAGCAGACTGTTCCAAACAACCCTACCTTGCTTTTCTTCTTTCCCTTCTCTCTGGTTTAGCTTCCAATCTTCCATGGCTTACAATCCGAGCCTTCTTTCACTCTTTTCACTCGTTTTCTTGGCTACTATTTCTCTTGCTCAGAGACCCTTTTTCCCACGGGCCATTGTTATTCCGGTTTCCAAAGATTTCCCCACTTCACAATATGTTGCTCAGCTTCAGATGGGCTATAATCTTGCTCCTTTGAAACTGGTTGTCGATGTCGGTGGTCCGTTTCTCTGGGCTGATTGGGCTTCTTCGTCTCAGGGCTCCATCCCCTGTGGCTCTCTCAAGTGCTCCATGGCTAACCCCAAAGGATGCACCAGTAACGAGATCTGCGAGCTTCAATTCGAAAATCCCGTCTCGAAAATGGCCGGATCTGGGGTTTTGAAGGAAGACACCATAGCTGTGGAGCTCATAGATGAGCCCAACGCAGGTTCTTTTCTCTCTCATGTTCCTAATTTCTTGTTTTCGTTTGTCCCGAGTTTCTTGTTCCAAGGCCTGGGTAATGGCGTGAACGGGGTGTTGGGGCTTGGGAATTCTAGGATTTCGTTGCCGTCTCAGCTTGCAAACACTTTTGGTATTCCTAGAAAATTTGCTGTCTGTTTGTCCTCTTCTAATGGTGCCATAATCTCCGGTGACACTACCTATGATGTTTCGAGATCTATGATGTACACCCCTTTGATCTCCCCCCAAAATGGCACCACACAGGAGTACTACATCAACGTGAAATCAATCAAAATTAATGACAGGAAATTGCCCCTCAACACATCCTTGTTGGTCTTGGATCAAGAAGTTGAGGGAGGGACAAGAATCAGCACAGTGGTTCCCTACACAACCTTAAAGACCACAATCTACCACCCATTTCTGGACTCCTATTTGGAATCTGCTGCTTCCATGGGGCTCAGCAGGGTGGACCCTGTGGCACCATTTGAGGTTTGCTTTAGTGGTGTTGGGTCAGATGTTCCAAAGGTGGAGTTTGTGTTGCAGAGTGAGATGGTGAAATGGAGGATGAATTCAATGGTGAAAGTGGGTGATGGGGTGATGTGTTTGGGGTTCTTGGATGGTGGGTTGGGGCAAGGGGCTTCAGTTGTGATTGGAGGGTACCAATTGGAGGATAATCTTTTGGAGTTCAATTTGGGCACTTCTATGCTTGGTTTCACTTCTTTAATGGCAGGCACAAGTTGTTCTCACTTCACAAGATTCTCTATGGAGAGAGATTCAGCTTGATTGCTGGCCAATTTTGGAGAGATATCCCTTGTACAGGTGGATGGATGGATGTAAAATTCCTGTTTTTGTTACATTTGAGAGTCTAATTTCTATGTTTAACTGTTGACTAATATCATGCTTGTGATTGCCCTTTTTGTTACATTTGAGAGTCTAATTTCTATGTATGAGATAAATAGATGAATGTAGAATAAGTCTAAACTCCTCTATGGTTCCTTGTTTTATAATATCTTTGCCTTGAAGTTTTGTTATTGTAAGTTCGTTCTATCATCTCATTTTGAATGATAGCATATTGCAGTTGTTATATTGCATCAAGCAAGCAAAATACATTTATTTCAATTGATAGTTCGTTCAAGGCTTATAAAATTTGGTTATTTAATACCAAATTTTTGTAATTTTTAACAATTACTATATTCAGTTATTTATTTAAATGAAAGTAAAGTTCATCCAAATGCACAAATCACAATTACTTTGAATAACTATCCCACAAATAATATTGCCCCTATTTCATAATTGGAACAATCTCTGTGAGCTGAGTAGTTCGAGAGGTAACTACTTCGAATGGTACCTTTTCGAAAGATATCTAGAAGGTTTGAAAGTGAGTAGTTCGAGAGTTAACTACTCGGAATGGTACCTTTCAAAAGGTACCCGGAAGGTAATGGTACCTTTCGAAAAGTACCTGGAAGGTTACGCGGGCGCATCTTAAGTGTTCAATGAAATGATAAACTACATTGTTTGGTTGGAGGGAATAGCAATTCCCCTCGATTCATTGAATTGCAATTCAATGAATTCATCCCTACAATGACAAGGGAAAAGGAAGGAAATGACATATTTGTCCTTGAATGCTATTATTAATAATATTACACAAGGGTATTTTAGTTTTTATATCACTTTTCTCATTTTCATTATTCTTCCCTACCAAACAATGTAATTATAATTCCTACTTTATTCCCACCTTATTATTTTTCTACCGAATTACAATTATTTTCTCCTTTAATCCAAGGCCCTGTAAGTGTAGTACTAACGCACTTAAGTGTTAAAATGACGCAACTTAAATTTTAAAAATACGCACATTAAATTTTACAATCATGCACCTTAAGTTTTCAACAATACGCAAATTACCATAATGCCACCACATTTTTTTTTAAATTTATCTTATTATGGATTGTTGATTTTGACAAGATCACTGACTATGATTAATGTGCATGCTTCACCTAGCTTTCGCATCTGATCCATTATATATATATGAACTAATGCACATAAAAAAAAAAAAAATCGACTCCCTAATCAAGCAAGTATAATAAAAATGAAGAAAAGAAGACCAAGATTCAAAGCACGGCAGCGACAGTGTAGTGATTATCTCTAAAGTTGGCAGATCTCTTGTGTACTCTGTCATTTGGCCCTATGTTGAACCACTGAATTACCATGATTTACATCCTCTCACATGCTTCGTCAGGCTGGAGTGTGGGAGGCCCTTGGGCCTTGGGTTGAGATTCAATCTTTTGGAAGAAGTATAATAAAAATGAAAATAATAAGGATTGTTTTATTAACTAATAAAAAAATCTAGAGAAAATGGTCAAATAAGCTCCTAAACTTTACCCCAAAAGTCAAGTAGGCCCCTAAACTTTAAAAAAGTGCAATTAAATCCTTAAACATGTCAAATTGAGTCAATGAAATCCATAAATCGATAAATGACTTGTTATTACAGGTTATTTCAATTCCAACGACCGCGATGAATTCCGACAATCGGCGAAAAATTCTGGCGACTGTCGAGGACAAAGTTGTCGCCGGTCGCCGGAATTGAAATGACCTTTAATAACAGGTCATTTATCAATTTTTGGGCTTCATTGACCCAATTTGACATGTTTAAGGGTTTAATTGCATTTTCTTAAAATTATGGGGCTTAATTGACTTTTGGAGTAAAGTTTAGCGACTTATTTGACCATTTTCTCACAAATCTACTAATCTAGTTTTATAGTGTCACGATTGTCATTCATAATTATCTCTTAAAATAACTATTAATTCCTGCATAATTCTATCTTAAACTTCTTGTATGTCTTAATACACTACGTGTATACGTCACCCTTACTTTTATATTGGAGATGACAATATACAATGCTCAATGCCTAGATGTGCAACTTCTTTTTTTCTAATTATTTTTCCCATTTTTTAGTGTCTTTGAAGCACACTATTTTTACTCTGCAAAGGTCCATGAAAGTTGCTTTCTGGTTTAAAGCTTCGACGATGATGCCAACTTGCCAACTCAGTCCAAACCCCAACAAAATGCAGAGGAAATATCAATTTTGTCCCTAAAATAGCAAAATTTAACAAAAGCTTGCCATGTTTTTTAAAAAATCATTTAAATTGTCGGTGATATAATCAATTATTGGAGGTTACCGATTGGCGGGTTATTTTTTGTTCACTGTTGACTAATATATGATTGTGATTGCCCTACTATGCATTTTTGTATCATTTTAGATTCTAATTTCTATGTACAAGATAAATACATCAAAAGTTGATTTCAATTCCGCAACTTTTGAGGTCATCTCACTTTTGATACATAATTTTAATTTTAGTGCCTAATTTTATTACTTTTATCAGTTTTGGTTCTTCCGACCAAATTGACGGTAAAATGTTACTAGATTTTATATTTTAGGAGCAAAATCGACATCTCAATGAAAGATGTTCAATATCTAAACAAAAGAAAAATCATATTAAGAGAAAAAGAAGGGTTTAGTAATCGTCGACGCTATAAATTCTATATATTTATGTTTAGTTTCTATCCGTCTTTCTCATTATTCTCATTGATCAAACACCTATATATATAATTTTACAATGATTTTGTTTAGATATTGAAGATGTTTCATTGGGATAACAATTTTATCAGTAAAAATATAAAATTCGGCAACATTTCGCAGTCAATTTGGTCAAAAGGATCAAAACTGATAAAAATAATAAAGTTAGCACCAAAATTGAAAATTTTTAAAGTTGTGCACCAAAACTGATAGAACCTAAAAATTCGTGGGACCAAAAGGGTAATTAATTCATACATCAATTAGCAACTCATCCGAGTTGATCAGACAATTGACTTCGTACCCACAAGGTTCTAAGTTCAACTCTCTATGGGATTTACACATTAGACTTCTTGGTCTGAACCGGTCACTATGGGCTACCTAAGCTAGTTCATCTCCTTATAGTCTTTTACCAGTTAGATTTACAAAGAAGACTTCATTTAGGTCAGATAGCAACTGTGAGCTTTTTGCAATATAATTCAAAGATAAATAGATTAATGTAGTATGTTTAAACTCCTCTATTGTTAGAGCATCTCCAACATATCTTTGTAGAGGTTTCAATTTTTTTTTTTTTTTTTTGGCACATGGAGGGAGAGGGGAGAAAAAAAGAAAGAAAAGAAGAGAAAAAGAAAAGAAAAGAAAACACGAGTTTCAGAAGAAAAAGAAAAGTAAAATAAGTTATTTATGTGTCAACTGGGCGCACTTAGGGCTGAGCAAACGGTCGGTCAGTTATATAACCGATCGAAAAATTAAAAAATCGATTGCGATTTTTGACCGCTATAACCGACCGAAACCGACCAAAGATAATACTATAACCGACCATTAGTTTCGGTCGGTTTTCGATCGGTAACCGAAAAATCAAAATTTGACAAATTATTCAATAGTTTATACTTATATATACAAGTCTCTAAAAATCAAATACCAAAATATCTCAAGCTTTGGGAGTAGATTCTCAGTAAAAAGAGATTTCAGACTCAAAGCATGAAATATTTAAAATAGATTAAGATTCATGAAGCTATACCTAAGCAAGGTGGGTGACAGAGAATGCATTCTGGATTTCTGGAAAGATTGAGAATGATACAAATCATTTTAATATGGAGTCAGATAAGTATAAACATAACCCAAGGAAAATGTCAAACAATATGATTCTTCATGCATAAATACATGCATTTAAAGTTTAAACGCATTTTTCAAAAAAAAAAAAAAGAAAAGTTTACACGCATTAGTTTTGTCATGCTAGTAATTATGAAGTATTTTTCTCTTTTACTGCAAAGTAGTTTGCTTCTTTCCAAAAATGGCACAAATGCTTGCTATACAATGACTGGTCTACACCCATAAACTGTTTGTTTTGGCTAATTGCTTAACACAATAAATTGTTTCATAACATAGAAGTACAAGCAATTAGAATTTAACACAGTACAATTGATCTCTTGAATACCTAGGGGTTTAAAACAACAATCCATAGTGACACGATATTCTTTTTTCTTTTTTCATAATGGTATTAGTTAATGATAGCCAGTAATTTTCTTTCTTGTTTTCAGATAACGTGATCTGAGCAGAGTGTAAGAGGTTTAACATAGTTACATAGATGTTTTTATACGGAAGCTAGCTAAGTGAAAGAAGGTTTAACATAGATGTTCTCCAAAAATAAAATACCAAAGCTCCAAATATTTAAACTTATATATATAGTCGGTTATCGGTCACCGATCGATAACCGAAAATCTATAACCGCAAAATAATCGAAAAACCGAATAATCGAATTTTTTAAGATCAATAACCGAAACCGACCAAAAACCGACTTTTTCGGTCGGTTCGGTTATCGGTTATCGATTATCGGTCAGTTAACCGATATTTTGCTCACCCCTAGGCATGGTTGCAGTAGGCGCTAGGCGCTAGTCAGGCGGCCGGGCAGCGCCTAGGCGGATTCTAGGCGGCGCTAGGCGGACACCAAAATTTTTTTTTAAAAAATAGTGACAGACTTGTAGTTCGACAATTTTAATGAGGTTGTTTTCAACGTTCACTCAAATAACACATCTAAATAAATGAAATAATGATAATTTATAAGTCATAATAATATTAAAATCAATAATTAATGAAAGACGACATCGGTCAAAATCAAACAAAATTGGTCAAAAACGATCAAAATTAGACGAAATCGGTCGACTCGGCTGAGTTGGCCGAATTGACCAACTTGACTGAGTTGGCCGAGTTTGGCCGCCCAGGCCGCCTAGACGGCCGGCCGAGTTTTGGCCGCCTTTAAGCTAAAACTCTAAGGCTCGGTGCCGCCTAGCGCCTAGGCGCCTAGGCGGCCGAGTTTTGCAACCTTGCCCCTAGGCGCACTTGGTGTGCCTAACGCGCACCAGGCAAGAATTTCTTTTTTATCTTTTTTCTTTTTGCAAGGCCCAAAAAAAACCAATATTACTGCAAATATAAAATTCTCTCTCCCCTACACCTCACCTTATCTT